CCCCTAATCACGAAAGTCTCCCCGGAAAGCGCCTAAGCGATGTTCAGAGAGGAGCCTCAAAATTACTTTCAATTGTTTACTTTGTGATGTTTACATAACACTTTACACTTTTCTTAAAGAAAAAAGAAGAGGGTGGGGGGGATACAAACTCTGACTTTTTAACAACTTTTCCGATCTTACGTGGGACGGTGGAACTCTGACTCACCAGCGGGAGTCCGGTCTTCACGGAGAAATTGTATTTATTTGTGTCTCTCCTCCCCTCCTCTCCGCGCGGCTTTCCCCGGGATGCTGGTGAAGGAGGCTTCTCCGACCCAGACTCTTGCCTGCTTCCCTCCTGGTGGCTCTTGCTTGCTTTGCAGACTGCCTGCAGCCACGATTTTGTCACGGGCACCTATGAGCCAAAGACTGGGCCTTTGTGGCAGGAAATAATAAGCAATACTACACAACTTGCTACTTTCAGAAAACTTTTTTATTTTTTTGGCTTCACCAATAACCACAGAGGAAGAAGGGAACTGGGATTTGGGTACGTTCTCTTCCACTGTTTGACCAAATTCTCAGTGATAAATATTGGGTGCGAATCACTAGGAGAAAAAAGTGGACGTTCGTAGCGTGGCACCTGGGATCTGCCACATTTCACGTAGACAGACGAAGGATCTTGTGTATTTTTGTCCATTTTCCAATGTTATATGAACTGATTGTATTGTTTTATACTGTGACCACAAATATTATGCAATGCACCATTTGTTTTGTGTTTTTTTTTTTAATTTTATTTCATTAAAGGAAGTTTAATTTAAATGGACATTGTGTGAGGAACGTGATGTTGGCCTCTGTTGTCCTTCTGTCTCTTCTACGTGAGGGACGATAGCTGAGTTCCGGTGGCAACTTGAGCACCTTCTGAGCTCTGAACCCCGAGGTCAGCATCGCAGAGTTTCACTGCAGATAAGAGAAGAGCCGGCCGGTGTGGTTCAGCGGTTGAACGTCGACCCAGGAACCAAGAGGTCACCGGTTCAGTTCCTGGTCAGGGCGCTTGCCCAGGTTGAGGATTCGATCCCCAATCAGGGGTGTGCAGGAGGCAGCCAGCCGATGTTCCTCTCTTTGGTGTTTCTGTCTCTCTATCCCTCTCCCTTCCTCTCCCTAAAAACATCTATAAAAACACATTTAAAAAAATAAAGATAAAAGACGAAAGGGATTTCATAGGGTCAACATTGACATCCCCACTGACACCGAGCGGAAAGGTGAGGGCCAGACCTGGCCCGAGGTCTCCTTGGTCTCTGGGTGATTCTCACGACCTTACAGGTCTGCTAACGGGAAAGAGAAGTCGTTGTTGTTCCTCTCTGCGGATCAGGAAACCAGCGTCCTGTGACCATACCGTGACTGGAGCAGAGTGGCTTTTCTGACTCGTGACGCAGTCTGGAACCCAACCCGCCCAGGTCCTATATAATACACAAACTGCTGTTCCCCCAGCCACCGGCTTCTGGGACCTGGACAGCGGGGAGCGCGGGAGCCCCCACTTCCTGCTGGGCCCTGGAGCAGCCGCGGCCTTGGCTGGCCTCCCCATGGACCTTCCTGTGGGCCTCCTGTGTGCTCTGGGCGGGAACCCGCTCATGTTTTGAGGGCTGTGTCCCCGTGACTCACCTTGCACGGGAATGGGCTTCGTCCTAGGCCTGGGGAACGTACTGGCCGTTTATTAATGCAGTCAACGCCCTGGAAAGAGCCCAGCAGTGCCTTGGGCCCACTCAAGGCCTCAGTTTCTCCCTCTGTTCTTTGAGGGAGTTGACTAAGATCATTGAATCCCTTCCTGTAGCGTCAGTCACTGCTTGGTATTCCATGCATGTAGACAAGAGGCTCAGCCCATACCTCTGGCAAGTTCCATGCCTGGGTATAGCCACGACTCTGACCTGAATTATAATCTCAGGTAGGGAAAAGAGCAAAATCATGAGCAGCTTCCTGCGGACACACAGTCGGCCTTCTCTGAAAGTCATGAATGGCACGCTGCGGAGGTGTAATAGAAAACACTGACTCAAAGTAAAAAGCAGCCTTAAAATGCAGCCATTGCCCAACCATATGATCCTGGCTAGGTTAGTTGATTCCTCTGCGCCTCAGTTTTCTCATCTGCGAAATGGGATGAGCGATACCTATCACACAGTGACGTGCGTTATTCTATAAAACTGTGTGTCAAGGGTCCCTATTTGACTATTTCTTGGGCCTGAGTTCTTAGGGTAAGGGAGGGCACAGAGGGTGTAATTTCTATGATTCTGTGGAATTAATATTTGAGTGTATCACATCTTAAAAAACAAAACAAAAAAAAATCTCTTTTCATTAATCTTCCAGGACCTGGAATAGGATTTCCTCCCTCCTTTAATACATTCCTGGGTTGCTTTATCCAGAACTGCCCAACACCCCCATCTCAAGCAAGAGCTACATTTTGCATTCCTTTCAAATGATACAATTGCAATGCACCGATTCCCAAAGGTAGTAGAATAATTCTGTCTCTCTCTGGCTCTGTTTTTTCTTTCTCCTTTTTTTCTTGACAACAGAAAGCTTCTTTTTTCCCGTCCAGAAAGGAAATGACATCAGCCTGTGAATGTTAAATTCTGGCAGAAATGGAGCCACTGAAATGGAAACAAAAAAAGGGGGTGGGGGCGGGCCGTCGCCAGGAATGAGAAGTTGCATAGCTTTTCCTTGGTCGTATGTATTTCAGGGATAAAGGGGACTCTGTCTTATTGGCAACCGTTATCTCTGCGGCCAATGCTGATTTCAAAAATAATTCTCTTTTTCGTGCACTTGGCAGCTGGACTGCACCGATGGCTCCCGTTCTTTACCGCTCCTGCAGTTCCCTTCGCTGAAGAGGGAGTCTGTTAACCCAGCTCTTGCCTTTGGACGTGGCCAGGTGACTTGCTTTGATCTGTGAGATGTTAGCAGTCCTGAAGCAAGCAGAAGCTTTGAAAAGTACCGATGTGTTTCCTCTCATTCTTTGGGAACCCTGACACCATGAAAACGTGCCCAGGCTGCCCTCTTAGAGAGACATGAGGCGGGGTCCAAGCCAAGGCCACCCTAGACCCGTGGTTGGCAAATTGTGACATGCAGCTCTTTGGCCCCTTGAGTGTGGCTCTTCCACAAAATACCACGGCCTGGGCGAGCCTGTTTTGGAGAAGTGGCGTTCGAAGAAGTTTAAGTTTAAAAAATGTGGCTCTCAAAGGAAATGTCAACCGTTGGCCTGTGGATATTTGGCTCTGTGGACTAATGGGTTTGCCGACCACGGTCCTAGACCATCATGCTCTTGCTAGCAGATGCCATGGCTTGTGAACAAAAATTAGCAAAGCACAACATTGAATTCAGCTTCACAGGAAAAATCTAACTAGACCATGCTCCTTTAAAAAAAACAAACCCCCCCAAAAAAACAAAACAAACAGAAAACGCCACCTTCTCAAGAGCTCCCCTTTTCTATGGGTAAAAGCCAAACTCTTGGGCCTGGTGAGCATGGCTCCCTAAGGTCTGCCCAGCCTACCTCTGTAGACCCTTCTCCCTTCACACCAGCCTCGAACTTGACTCCAACAGGAGGGCACAGCTGGGGCGCCATCATTCACGCTAAATTCCAGCTGTACCTGCCTCTCGAGGTGTTTTGTTGGACCAGCCCAGCCCAGCCCGTCCATCCCTCCTGCCCGCCAACTGCCCCCATTCCCTCTGGGTGCTGTCGTCACGGTGTGGCATTCTGATCGTCCGATAAAGTGGAAGCTCCCTGAGAGCTGAGACGGAACAGCTAACCCCTTTGTAGGGGCACAGCGTACACAGCACCCAGCACATGGAAGTGCTGAAACTTGGTTGGATGGAGCCAGGGATCTGCCTGAAGCAGGCCCGCTTGCTGTTGGCCTCTCTGAATGTAGGCTTGACCCAGGGAACTGGTCCTCCGGGAGCTCACCCATTGTCTTCTGGGACGAGAGTGGGATTAAGTTGGCCAGAGTTCAATGCCAGCTTTGAGGCTCTCCTCCGGCCTCCTTGGTGCCCAGGCCCACACTGAGCAGAAGATGGCACTTAATTGTCCAAGGATGGTGGCTGACATTTACTAAGCATTTTCCGTGCACGGGATATTGTTCTAAGCGTCTTAAGTCAATTCATCCGTTCGATTCTCACAGCAGTCTTGTGGGGTATGTACTGTTTTATAGAGGAGAGTTAGAAAAGGTTAATTAACTTTTCTGAGATCACGCAGCTACTAGAAATAGGTTCAATGTGCAAACCCAGAGCCTGCCCTAGAGCCTGCCCTCCTCGCCATCCCCCTTGTCTCCCAGGTTCATGGTCTTCAGGGGCCCTTCTGCCATTTCTCAGTCCTTTTCTCCCCAGGATGGGAGGAGAGGTAAGAGCTAAGGAAAGGACATTTCTGCTTGATTTAAAAAAAAAAAAAATCTATTGATTTTGAACAGAGAGGAAGGAAGAGAGAGAATTAGAAACATCGATGAGAGAGAGTCATCGATCAGCTGCCTCTTGCATACCCCCCACTGGGGATATGCCTGCAACCAAGGTACATGCCCTTGACCTGAATCGAACCTGGGACCTTTCAGTCCCCAAGCCGATGCTCTATCCATTGAGCCAAACTGGTTTCGGCTCTGCTTGATTTTTTATTTATTTATTCTGTTTCCTTAAATTCCCTGATGGCTACCTCTTGATGCATATTTAGCCAGGATGAGGGCTATCTTTTCTTATTTTTATCTGTATAAACATATACTTACCCAGGAAGATAACTGTTTGACCTGTTCAGTTATCTGAACTAATTTTTTTTAAAATATATATTTTCATTGATTTTTTTACAGAGAGGAAGGGAGAGAGGGATAGAGAGCTAGAAACATCGATGAGAGAGAAACATCAACTAGCTGCCTCCTGCCCCCCACTGGTGATGTACCTAGGACCTTTCAGTCTGCAGACTGACGCTCTATCCACTGAGCCAAACCGGTTTCAGCTGAACTAATTTTTTTTTTTTCACACCCAAATTGGGGCACTTTGCAAAGAACCATAATGCAATGAGTGTGGCTTTTGCAAGCCGCCCCTCTCTTCGTGGGCTGAAAACAACACCGCTTCCTCTTTGCCTTCATAGCGTTTGTCACTCGGCATCTGAGCAACCTCAGTGCCACCACCGGCAGCGCTCTGCAGGCGTCCCCATGGCCCGCATCCCACGTGTGGCATCTCTCCTCCTCTTTCTGAGTAAGTGTCGTTGTTCTGCGTGTTTCTCTTGTCCCAGGGGCTGCTGGGTGATGGAACAGGATAGGGTGGTTCCTCCAGGCAAATCGGGGCCAGGCTTCTCTGGTGCTGGCAGTGCTTGGTGACTTCTGTCTGTGATGCCAGATGTGCCGGTTTTGCTGGCTCTGCCTTTGCCTTGTCTTCTTGGGTTAGCCCATGCCTGGAGACAGGAAGAGGCTTAGCTCTCCAGATGGGGAGGCGATTGTAAGGTTGGCCTCATGTCAGAGGTTGACTAGATAAGTGTGCCTTGCGGGCAGAAGGAAAGGTCCTGAGAGCACTTAGTAGTTTTAGGCTAAGCTAAAGAAGGTTCTGGACTTGACCTGGGCTGAAGTGGGAATTGACTACTGAGAGACTGAGAAGGGGCAGGGAGATGCACTTGGCTTGGCTGAGAGGCCTACGCAGGGGCCTTAGCTGGCCCGGGGCGTTCCTGCATGAGGGAAGAAAAGGGAAGCTTGAAGGTGAATTGGGAAGGGACTGACTTAGTTCCAGAGTAGGTAGAGCAGCGAGCAGTGGTTGCCTTTAGCATCTGGTAAAGCCAATAGACTCCATCTCAGAATAATGTCTTAAATGCATAAAATGAAATACAAAGGGCTCTAGGGGACACCAATCAATCCTATTGAAATGCAGTTATCAGAATATTTTTAATTGATTTGGGAGAGAGGAAAGGGGGGAGAGAGAGAGAAACATCAATGTGAGAGATAAATATCGATTGGGTACCTTCCAAATGTGCCCTGACTGTGAACTAAACCTGCCACTTTTTTGGGGGGGGTGGGTGAGGGGAATGTATGGGACAATGCTCCAACCAACTGAGCCACACCAGCCGAAGCCAAAATAGATTGTGATAGAGTCACTTATTCATCTCCTTATGCATTACGTAACAATCGAGACGTCAACCACCAAACTTCAACGTTGTCATGAACACGAACAATATTTCAAGATTTTTTGCAACAACTGTAATGTGATATGAAAATTTTGATGGTTTGTTGTCTACATTCATGAAGGAAGGAAATACTAAATTTCCATGAATATTAATGAAAATTAAAATGTAGGGTTTTTTTCCCCACCGTGTGTGGACTCTTTAAAATTGCACATCTCCTCTCTCTTGTGAGCAGGCTGGAAAGTCCGAGGGGAAAGAAAGTAGTAATTCCAGGTTAAGAACTCCTGAAGTGAGATAGTGAAGGGACTTAAATGGCTGGAACCAGAGGGGAACTAAAAGAAATCACACCCAAGGTGACCAGGGATGTGGCTAAAGCATGAAAAGGGAGCAGCGCTCAGCCAAGGAGGTGCTGAATACACATCAGTTTGCATTGAACTGAGCACACGTCGCAAAGGGGCATTGGCGGGTGGGAGGTAAGAACCAGATCTGGGGCTTGATGGGGTGAGAGGTGGTGTGAAGGAAGATTCCTGGGTCCCGTTGTGGAGTGAGCAGTGCCCACCGGCCAGGTCTGGCAGATGCGGAGGGCCAGGTGGCCTGGTGAAGGCCTTTGAGGGTTATTGGCTGGTGTGTTCCTGTTTGTCCTGTCCGGTTGTCTGAGAGGGATTCTCGGGTGTACCTGCTTTTCAAATTTGGAGCGTGTGTTTGGTTTGTGTGTAGGAGGAAGCTGGGTTTACATTGGGGAAGTCAGACAATTGCAAACTCTCTCTCTTTTGTAAGCAGGCTGGGAGGTCCGAGGGGAAAGAAAGTAGTACTCAGGATTCAAAAGGGGAAGCTGGAAGCTTTTCCTTAGCCCATTTCAACAATGGCCTCTTCCGGGTTATATATCTTACTTCTAAATTCAGAGTCATCCTCAGCACTGACTTTGTGTAGAACCACAGTTTTTATGTGAAGAAACACACAAATCAGGAAATAACTTGAAAAAATGTAGGAAGCCTGCTATTAGTCATCACATATATTAAGGGGGAGTCCTAGACAGTTTGGCTCCGTAGATAGAGCATCAGCCTGTAGACTAAAGGGCCCAGGTTTGATTCTGGTCAAGGGCACATGCCCAGATTGAGGGCTCGATCACACATAGAGGGTGTGCAGGAGGCAGCCAATCAATAATTCTCAATAATTCTCTCTTATCATTGATCTTTCTATTTCTCTCTCCCTGTCCTCTCTGAAATCAAATATATATATATATATATACTGGGTTGAAATCTGCTGCTTCTGCTCGATTGACATCACTTTTACAAAGATCTCCACTGACATCCTTGTCATTAAGCTTTAGCATCCTCAACCTCAGCAGCATTTTGCAGTGCTGACCAGCCCTTTCTCATTGGAATGATTTGCCTCCTTTGGTTTTCAAGCCACTGTGTCCTGGCTGCCCTCTCAACTCCCTAACCCTTCCTTCAATAGATATTGTTCCTCTTCTAAACCCCCTAAATAGATTTTCTAGTAATTGCTCATTAACCTTCTTCTTTATATTCCCTAACACTTTCCAATACTTACATGTATGACTGACTTAATTTGCATCTACAGCCCAGGACCCTTCCTGCTTACAAACAAGCACTTACAGGAAATCATAAGAAGCCATAGAGATGGCCAGAGTTTTGACATTTGCAAATCTAGGTTCAAGTGTGGCTCAGCCATTTACAAATTATGACACTGCCAAATAAGGAACTATGACAGAGTTCTTGAAAGAATTAGAATATACACATTTTCAAAGGGTTGAAGACTTTAAAGCATATATATGAGTGGCCAGATTATTATGATCTCTGAATGCATAATAATCTGGCCACTGTGTGTGTGTGTGTGTGTGTGTGTGTGTGTGTGTGTGTGTGTTTTAGAGGCCTGGTGCATGAATTTGTGCATGGGTGGGGTTCAGCCAGCCTGGCCAGGGGGAGGGGACATGGGTGGTTGGCCATCCTGCCTGCTGGTCGAAGGGACAATTTTCATATTAGCCTTTTATTATATAGATATACACTGAGTGGCCAGATTATTATGTGTTCAGAGATCATAATAATCTGGCCACTCAGTGTATATTTAAATATTATTTCCAAATATTTGCTGTATATCCTTCCTGTTTATTCCACAGTACTCAAATTTAGTATTTCTGAAATTAAAAGTATTATCTTTTCCCTTGAACACACAACAGTAACTCTCCCTGATCTCCTATTTCTGTTAATAGTACCATTATTCTTCCAGTCGCCCTCACAAACCTGGGTATCATCTTTGATTTCTTCCTTCCTTGATCCCTCTACCCACCCTACTACCTCTAAGCATCCAAGACACTGAAAAACTATGGATTTTATTACCACAGTGGCTTTGAAATTGTTCCTTTCTTTCCACCCCTATTGCCTTCATCACTTCTCTCCTGGGCTACAATAATTACCTCATGTCTGTTTCTAATTTCCATCATCCTTTACAAATTGTCAGGTTAATTTTCCTAAGACCTTTCAAATACTTTCAGGCTTAATCAAGCATGGCTTACTCAATCAAGTTCAAACATTTAATCATAAAAGTCAAGTCCTTCATGTTCTAGACCCAAATGTCCTACCAATTCTTACCTCCTTCTATTAATCTTCATATAACTCTTCCCCTAATCTAACTGATTACTCCCTGTTTCCTTTAACAAGTCTTTTGATTCCTGTTCATTCAGTCTCCTCATGAACTCCCCTTACTTAAAATATCTTATCTTCCCACTTGTCATAATCGTTCCAATTCTCCAAAGCCCATTTCTGATACTGTCTCTTTCATAAACCTGGCCTATCTCCCTCTTCAAAAAATATAATCTCTCTGTTCTTCAAGTTCCTGTAAAGCATTTTTATTACATCTCTCTATGAGGACTATTACCCTACTTGACCAAATTATAAAATATTGAAGTCAGAGACTCTCTCAGACTCATCTTCGTATCTGGGTTCCTGAAGCATCAGAAATACTAGAAATGGTTGAATAAATATTTATTGAATTGGCAAATAAAACAGTAGAAAACAAAATGCTAGTTTTCACAATGAAATGCTTCAAACGCGGTACCCATCTCTCTAAAAAGTCATGGAAAAAGTCATGAAGGAGTGTTGCCTAGCAACCAAAAACAGCATTGTGGGAACAGGCCCTGATAGAAACAGGTTAGTGGTACCTCAGAAATTACATTTTTTTTTAAAGGTGTTTTTTTATTGTGAAATAAAACACAAAAAGAACAGGTAATAAAACATAAATGTGCCTTTGAGCAAATAAGTAAAAACCATGCAATCACGAGCCAGGTTAAAAAAAATAAAATAAAATAGAACACTGCTAAGACCCAAGAAGGACCCACCCATGCTGCCATGTGCCGCATCCAGATCACAACCCTCCCCCCACACAATCACTTTTCTGACTTTCATGATAACCACTTCCTAGCTTTTCTTTTTTCTTTTGATTCTTTTTACCCCTTTTGCTTGCATCATTTAACAACACAGTGTAGTTTTACCTGTTTTAAAACTTTATGAAGACTAGAACTGCCCTAGCTGGTTTGTCTCAATGGATAGAGCGTCGGCCTGCAGGTGGAAGGGTCCCAGGTTCAATTCTGGTCCAGGGAACATGCCTGAGTTGTGTAGGGGGCATGCAGGAGGCAGCTGATCAATGATTCTCTCTCCTCATTGATGTTTCTATCTCTTTCTCCCTTCCTCTCTAAAATCAATAAAATATATTACAAAAATTTTTAAAAAGGGTAGAACCATTCTCTAGGACCTAGTCAAAAAGATTCAAAGTATTTTGCATCTGTTACTAAACACAGTTATTCATATTATTGCAACTATTTCACTTTATGGATGTACTGAGTTCATCTACTTGACGTTGATGGGCATATGGGTGGCCTCTAGTTTGGGGTTGTAATGAACAATACAGCCATGGGTGCTCTCTCTTGGTAGTCTGAGGCACAGTGCACACCTTCTAGGTGCACAGCTAAGACTGGCTGGCTCAGTAGAATAATTTTCTTTGGTAAGTAATAATTTAAAATTCTCTCAGCTGCCCTAACTTCTATGTCTAGGCATACTATAAATATAAAATGCATATGAAATTAGAATTTATGAATGCATAAGTGTATTTCAATGATTACTGGAAATGTGTGTGGTTGGTCGATGAGTTGGCTAGATAGTTGTTTTTCCATTTTGCCCTGAGCACCCACGTGCAGTTTTTAGTTTGTTGACTGACTCCTTCTGCCCATTGGTTTGTTGCCTGCGTCTAGCAGAATTGTTTGCATTCCAGAATTTCTATTCTCAGCCTTATCCTCGTCTCTGTCATGTCATTGTTCCTTTCTCTCACTCTTTTCCCTTCAGTTTCTTTTGTCCTGTAGGGTCACACGATTCAGCAGGTACTCTGCTTCTCCCGGATTTTCTTATGAACTCCGTCCTGCTAATTCCTTCAGATGAGCGCTCCAACTTGTGGTCACACCACCTCACCCTCCCCTCCTGCTGGCCCTCGGCCTCCTGAGAGATCTAGCTCACCCTTGTGCATCTGTCATCTGTTCTTTGTTGTTGTGTTTTTTCTGGAACACAACTAGCCTTTTAATATCAACATAATAGTAAACTCATTGTGATTTCTGCAAAATGCTTGATTTTGAAACTGTGTCTATCAGAGGAAATGTTACCATTCAATAATGTCTTCTCCTTTAAATTTAATACATGAGATTTCCCCCCAAACATTCCATAGTGGTCCCCAGTGAAAATCTGGGTAAGGGAAGAACTAGAATAAATTCTGATTCCAGATCCTGTGGGACTTGACATTCAACAGTAGGAAGCTTTTTTTTTTTTTTTTTTTTTTTTTTTTTTTTTTTTTTTTAGTAAAGCTGTATTGGCTCTTTAAAAAATTACAAGACAAAACCCCCTCCACAGTATAGAAAGGAAGTGCTGCTGCTAGCTCGTCAGGTGCTAATTTTAGCCGATCTTGCATCCGATGTGGCCAGGTGCTAATGACCAACCAACCCACAGGAAAAAGCATGGCCCCATGGGCAGTGCTGGAGACTGCCTCTCCAGCAATCATGGCTGTGAGAAATGCCACCCAGGAATTAGAGGCATAGGAAGTACCTGCTGAATCCACCCCCCATCAAAAAAAAAAAAAGTACAGGTGAATCATCATACATCATATTTACTTTAAAATAAGTGCACTGCAGATAAGCAGATATATTTCATAAAAGGGGCCATGAAATATATCTGCTTATCTGCAGTGCACTTATTTTTGATTACAGCTCATAACGTGCGATCCCAGATATGGGTATTGTAATACAGGGAGCTGCTGAAGGCGGCACGTTGGGAGATGGGACACTAATCTATATATATCTATATCTATATCTATATATCTATATATCTATATATATATATATATATATATACATATACATATATATATATAATTTATTTTTTACAGAGGGGAAGAGAGAGGGATAGAGAGTTAGAAACATCGATGAGAGAGAATCATTGATCAGCTGCCTCTTGCACACCCCCTACTGGGGATGTGCCCATAACCCAGGTACATGCCCTGGACTGGAATCGAACCCAGGACCTTTCAGTCCACAGGCCGATGCTCTATCCACTGAGCCAAACAGGTTTTGGCGACACTAATCTATTTTTATTCCCCTTCCTTTCTCCCACTTGCAAGCTAAGCTCAGCATTGGCCAGAGAGTAGTAACAGTTCAGAAAGGACCACTGTTTAGGGCTGAAGGTTACCCTGTCAGCATCAGCTGCAACGTCACTGGCCACCAGGGACCTGCGGAGCAGCATTTCCAGTGGTCTGTGTACCTGCCCGCAGCCCCGGCCCGAGAGATCCAGATCGTTAGCACCCAGGACGCGGGCTTCACCTACTCAGTGTACGCGCCGCGGGTAACAAGCAGGGACGTCTATGTGGAGAGGCTCCAGGGCAATGCCGCCTCGTTGCACATCTCCAAGCTGCAGGCGAAGGATTCTGGTGAATATGAGTGCCACACGCCGAACACGGATGGCAAATACTACGGGAGTTACAGCGCGAAGATGACGCTCATTGGTAAGCCGCACGCCCCCCTCCGCTAGCCAGCCCGAATCCATCGCGACGCCTTGCAGGGTGACATCGCTTTGTATTGTGCTGTTTGCTTTGGCAAAATTGCCCATGTACCTCTCTGGATAGTTGGGGGATTTATCACAGATAGGTATTTCACGTTTATGAAAGCTCTCCATGTTTCCAATCAACTTTGCCTTGAAGATTGAGAGAGTGTGTGCCTTCCCAAGGCCTCCCCACAGCTACCCGAAGACTGACAGTAGCCACAGCATCAGCCAAAGCTTGGAGAGCTCTCATCAGGTTATGTCTTCTCTTAGAGGCAGAATATTAACTTGATAAGAGCTGGCATTAATGCTATAGGTGGTCAGTTGTTCATTTGGGAATGCTTATTTGCAAACTACCATTTTCCAGCCTGTTTACCCAAAGAGAGAAGGTAATCGTTCTTGTAATTACCACTTTGTCTCTTTGCCTAGAACAATGGTCGGCAAACCATGGCTCGCGAGCCACCTGCGGCTCTCTGGCCCCTTGCATGTTCTAACACCGCTTCTTCAAAATAGACTCTCCCAGGCCAAAAACCGACGTAGGCACATGGGCCACGAAGTTTCAATCGCACTGTATGTGCAGGCCCGCATGTGGTATTTTGTGGAAGAGCCACACTCAAGGGGCCTAAGAGCCACATGTGGCTCGCGAGCCGCAGTTTGCCGACCACTAGCCTAGAATATCTTATCACCCTTTTTTTTTTTTTTAACCTAACAAACTCCTACATATACTTCAGGACCCAGTTTAGATATTACCTCTCCTGTGAAACCTGCCCTGACGGTCGCAGGCCATATTCCAATTTTCCTTCCTCTCAATGCTCTATTCACACCACTGTTCTTAGCACTCACCCGTTTGTGTGGTAACTGGCTGCTTCTGTGACTCTCCCCTCCCTCCCTCTGAGCTCCAGGAGGAGGGGATGTTTATTTCCGTCCCTGGCACGAAATAGATGCTCAGTAAATAGCCATTGATCGGATCTAAGCGTTGCCTTCCCTTAAGCTGAGGCTCTGTCATTCCCTTTGAGGACGGAGAGAATGGGAAGGCGGCTGGGTGGTTAACAGCACTTTTGTGAAGGTCCCATGTTGGCTCTGAATGGCAGATAACCACAGATCGTTTCAGAACGTTATTGTATAAAGGAGAGGGCGAAGGCCCAAGGAAGGGAAGTGACTTGCTCTGGTTCTTGTGGTCAAATAAGGACAGATTTTGGATCAGAATCTAAGTCTTCTAGCTCCCAGGGCTTTCCCCTTTAGATACGTTATGTCCAAGGAGCAAATTTGGTTACACCCTACGTCACACACGTCAAGTCAGGACCAGCGCCTCAGGGAGCCATTGGCTTTTCTGAGTTCCGACCACCGTATGCACATAGATGCTAACGTCTGCATTGGCCACAGGGAACACGCGTGGCTAGCAAGTGTGTGCTTTCCAGGGTGCCATCTTCCTCTAAACAGGCCAGTCTGACCGGCATTGGGCCAATTACCATTAATTTCTCTGCTTCCAGTTATTCCAGACACCCTCTCCGCCACCATGCGCCCCCAGACCCTCAGTAAGGAGGAAGGTGAGCCGTTAGAACTCACCTGCGAGGCAGCCAAAGCCACAGCTCAGCACACCCACCTGGCTGTCGCCTGGCACCTGCTGCAGGGTGGAGGAAGCCCAGCCTCCGAGATCATTTCCCTCTCCAAGGATTTCACGCTGCTCCCGGGACCCTCGTTCGCAGAGAGGTTTGCCCGCGGCACCGTGCGGCTGGACAAGCTGGGGGCCGCCACCTTCAGGCTGTCCCTAGGGAGCCTGCAGCCCTCCGACCAAGGCCAGCTGTTCTGCGAGGCAACCGAATGGATTCAGGATCCGGATGGAACCTGGACTTTCATTGCAAAAAAGCAGACGGATCCAACCACCTTGAGCGTCCAGCCAGCAGGTAATTGTCGTCTCAGAAAATGAATATGTTGGCGGTGGGTATTGATGGGATCACTTCTTGTTTTCTTCTGATCTTTTGTTGAATCTAAAAATATTTTCCCTGAAAGCTCGAGTGAATTTTCCTTTCTGTCATCCGGGAAGATAAATAAAAGAAAGACAGTGAGTTTTGGGCTCTGTCCACAGGTCGGTTTGCATGGGCTAAGGTCTGTTGAACAGTTGGATCGATGGCACAAGCCGTACGTGGAAACAGGGTTGTTGCTGTTCTGGGCAGGCTCCGCAAGGACCCTGAGCCTCAGACTTGCCAAATGCTCTGCCCAAGGTCAACCCGCTGCCGAGCGGCGGAGTTGGCCTTTGTTTTGTTTTTTATAACTATGTGTTTATTTTTGTGGTTTTTAAAAATATATATTTTATTGATTTTTTTACAGAGAGGAATAGAGAGTTAGAAATATCGATCAGCTGCCTCTTGCACACACACACACACACACACACACACACATACACACATCCCCACTGGGTTGTGCAACCAAGGTACATGCCTTTGACCCGAATTGAACCTGGGACCTTTCAGTCCGCAGGCCAAGCTCTATTCACTGAGCCAAACTGGTTTCGGCTGGAGCTGGACTTGGGAATCAGGTGTGTCACAGACACCTGGGCTGCAGAGTCGCTGTAGATTGCATCAGGTGGCATTTTCTTATTTTTGTTGCGATGGTAAATAAGAATGTTTTTTTTAAATCTCTTTTTCTAATAGTTCGCTGTTAGTGTCTAAAAATGCAACAGATTGTTTTTAGAGGTTGATTTTTTTTTTGTATCCTGCAACTTTACTGAAATTGTGTATTAGTTTTAACAGTTTTTGAGTGGAATCTTTTGGAGTTTCTATAGATGATTTTACTTCTTTTTTTTCTGCTTTGGATGCCTTTTATTTATGTATTTTTCTGACTAATTGCTCTGGTTAGGACTTTCGGTACTATGTGGAATAGCGGTGGCAAGAGTGGGCATTCTTGTCTTACTCCTGATCTTAGAGGAAAAGCTTTCAGCTCTTTATTGTCAAGAATAATATTAGCTGTGAACCTGTCATATACCACGTGCTTTTTAAAAAATTATTATTATTGATTTTTTTACAGAGAGGAAGGGAGAGGGATAGAGTTAGAAACATCGATGAGAGAGAAATACCAATCAGCTGCCTCCTGCACACTTCTCACTGGGGATGTGCCCGCAACCAAAGTACATGCCCCTGACTGGAATCGAACCTGGGACCTTTCAGTCCGCGGGCCGACACTCTATCCACTGAGCCAAACCAGTCAGGGCCACATGTGCTTTTAACTTAGGAAAACTCCACTGGATACTCTCAGCCAAAATATAGAGCAAAAATAAAAAAATAAAATCATAATTTCTAGTAATTCAACATAGTATAAAATCTGACATGTTTTTTCATTTAAAAAACACATCGCTGTATACTTTATACTACATCCAGACACACATCCTGCTTAATAGGGTTGCATTTGGAGGACAGGTATGCTGTTCTTTCTGTGTGATTTAAGAAATAGGCAAGGGCGTTTTTGATGGTAGGCGTTTCTCCTGCCTACCTCTTCCTCAGGACTGGACCCCAACATGGCATTCAATCCTTGCACTGTCCTTCTGGGGCTGCCATCTCTCTCTGCTAGTGAAGGGACCCAGATTCATAGTTTGTATTCTCTGCTAGCGGTGGCCTCTCTTAATACCTGCCTTGCGTTTGTTTCCTAGTGAGAGATTTTCAAGTCAACCTCACGGCCGAGGGCACGTTCACGGAAGGGAAACCCTTAGAGCTGGTGTGCCTGGTGCTGGGCGGTGGCCGGGACCTGCAGCTTCAGGGCGTCTGGTTCCTCAACGGCGTGGAAGTGGCCCGCATCGACGCCGGTGGGGTTCTGGGCCTGAAGAAAGACTACAGCGAGAGAGCAAGTCGAGGACAACTCCAGGTTTCAAAGTTGAGCCCCAAGGCTTTCTCTCTCAAGATCTTCGCTGCGGGCGCAGAGGATGAAGGCGCCTATGTTTGTGCCGTGGCCGAGATGATGAGGGCTCCGCTGGGCTCCTGGCAACAGCTTCAGAGAAAGCAATCCCCGGACCGTCACGTGCAGCTGAGGAAGCCGGCAAGTAAGTGAAGGCAGACCAGGCCCAGCCGGGCTGCTTTCTGATCCTCTCCTTCGTTAGTGTAGGCTGCCTCGGGGACACGGTGGAGAGAGATCTCCTGAAGAGTCAGGTGTCAATCAGGCCATTTGTGGGGAAGAACAGAAAAGCACCAAACTCACCAAAGACCTGAGCTCTGTTCTTTCTTTCTTTCTTTATTTTTTTAAATTTAATATATTTTTATTGATTTCAGAGAGGAATGGAAAGGGAGGGAGAGAGAGCAACATCAGTGATGAGAGAGAATCACCGATTGGCTGCCTCCTGCACACCCCCTGCCGAGGATGGAGCCCGCAGCCCAGGTATGTGCCCTGACCGGAATCGAACCGTGACCTCCTGGCTCATAGGTCGCTGCTCAACCACTGAGCCATGCTGGCTGGGCCCGAGTCCCGTTCTCGAGCCGTTATATGGGTCATGACCGTGGATGCTCCACTCTCTTTCTCTAAATCTCCACTTCCTCAAGTGTAAAATAATGACATACAATTAGGTCCTTTCTTGCTATCCTAGATCCTTTGGTTCTGTTTGCTGGCAGCCCTAATTTTACACATTGGCTTTTTCTTCAAGCCGAGAGCACCTGGCTGAATGGAGCCCTCTGTCCTCTGCAGTTGTGTGTGTGTGATGTGAGTAGGTTAAGAGGAAAAAGCTCCACTTTGCTTCTTCCTGGGAATGAACACCCACATTACACCCCACACTCCCCCATCATTCAGGCGCCTTTTGTCAAGCCTTGATTATCTTAACCAACCATAGGGACCAGGTCTAAGTCTTTTTTTTTTCTTTTTCTTTTTTTAAATCATAATTCTGTACCGAAGCATGGCTCATCAAAGGAATGAAGGGAGAAATGGTAGTACACAGGCCCTGTGCCCTGCACTTTGCTATGATGTGGGGAGATGTCTGTCTAATAGGTCTGAGTATCTGTAGGCGTGAGACTAGAAAGGCCACTCAGCTCTCACTTCGCTTGTGGAGGTTGGGTGGCCTTAGACATGTTTGAATAGTCAGTACTTTTGTGTGGAGAGAAAGTGGATAAATATGCAGTTAATACAGTGGTCCCTCGGTGTCCAGGACCCCTCACAGATACCACAATCCATGGATGCTCAAGTTCCTTATATAAAATGGCATAGTATTTGCCTATAACCTGTGCACACCCTCCTGTGTACTTTAAATCACCTCCAGATTACTTATAATACTTAATGCAATGTAAATATTATGTAATTCTGTTTTTTACATAATTCTGTAATAACAGTTGTTATTCTGTGTTGTTTAGGGAGGAATGACAAGGAAAAAAGTTTGTACAAATGCCACCTTCTTAGGCCTAACTCCATAGTACACATCAAGTACAGAAATAACGTGTGTGTGCGTGTGTGTGTGTTGTGTGTGTGTGTGTGTGTGTGTGTGTAATATTTTCAGCCCACAGTTGGTTGAATCAGCAGATGAGGAATCCATGGTTGTAGAGGGCTGGCTGGATTGGCATTCTCTGGGGTTAGTATTGCATTCAAAGTCTAGAAAGATTAAGTTGCCTGAAAACAAAAACCAAAAGCAAACGAAAAATTAAGATATCCTCGTTGTACTTGCTCATGAGAGACATCTAGGAATGAAGACACAGAAGCTCTGGCCTCGAGTGGCAAGCCAGGAAGTGCGTTGGTGTTCGCTTTCACACCAAACATTTAGTTTAACTTTCTAGGAATCAAGGAAAATGATGTGGGCGGTTTACATATTTACTCAGAGCTAAGCCTCTGCTTTGTGCATCTCAATTTTCCCCAGAGTGTATCTGTGACCTTTCTTAAGCCCAGAATGGGGGAATCGGTGCCAAAGGGCCTATCGGTGCATTTCATGGTCTGCAGAGCCTAAGCTTACCAGTAGGGTGGTCTTCTAAAGCTAAACACAGTCCTCTGTGCAGGCTAAAGCCCAAAATGGGCCCGATATGGAGAAACAGAAAGAGTATTTAGCATATTTATTAAGGATCCTATTGCAGACGAAGTTTTAAAAGCCAAGCCAGCCCTGGCTGGTGTGGCTGAGTTGGATAGAACGTTGTTCCATTGGTCCGTACCAAAAGGTGGCAGGTTCGATTCCCAGTCAGGGCGCATGCCTAGGTTGTTTGTTCCTATGGCAGGCAACCGGTCAATGTTTCTCACATCTATGTCTCTCTCTCTCTCTTTTCTCCCTCTTCCCCTCTCTCTAAAAAATCAATTAAAAAATAATAATAAAAGTCAAGCCATTATTTGAAATAGGAGCAGAGTTGTATCCTTCTATGAGCATTTTAAGCAGAAGGAGGAGACACACTACTGAAACTGGAAAAGTCAGGCTCAGTGCTATCTGTCACTACCAGAATCAGTAAGTAGATACAAGGACTGACTCTTTGTGGGTGCTTTATTCAGACAGCCGGCAGTTTGAGAAGATGCAGGCTATGTACCCTAAAAAGTCCACCTTACATCTCATTTCAAGCCACCCTTTTCATAAGGAGAAGAAAATTGTAGGTAAAGAGCTTAGAATTCAGGAGAAAATAGGTAAGGCGTTTGGAATTCAGGAAAAAAGGGTTCATCAGATAAAAGCTGCAGCCCAGTGATTTTCTGAGATTCCCCTTATCTGCATCCTGGAGAGGGGACATTCTCTCCCTGCAGCTCAGTGTCTCGGATACAGTCTTGTCTTGTCGCTTACAGTCCTCCCGAGACATGAAGGTAGAGTTGCTTGCGGGTCTTCTGAAGTCAGGGCAGGTCCAGTCCAGTCCCTGGAACAATAGCTTTCTACATGCATTAGTTACCATAATGGTTATATTAGAGTAGTGAGATTATGAGCAATCATTTTCTCTCTCATTTCTAAGCTTCAGTTATGACTATTTTTAACTTGCCAGAAATGGAAATATAATCATGCTTCTATTGATAATACCCAAAATTTGGAAACAAGTTCCCAAATGTATAAAATATATATAATTTGTATACATTAACCTTCATTCTGCCTTTGTAACTTATATACATCTATTATAATAAAAGCGTAATATGCTAATTAGACCGGATGTCCTTTTTAAAAAATATATATATTTTATTGATTTTTTTTCAGAGAGGAAAGGAGAAGGATAGAGAGTTAGAAACATCGATGAGAGAGAAACATTGATCGGCTGCCTCCTGCACACCTCCTACTGGGGATGTGCCCATAACCAAGGTACATGCCCTTGACGGGAATCGAACCTGGGACCCTTCAGTCCACAGGCTGGCACTCTATCCACTGAGACAAACCAGTTTCGGCTGGATGTCCTTGATGACCTTCTGGACAAAGCTGGGGCAAAGCTGGGACAAAGCTGCAGCGGCAGCAGCAGCAGCAGTGGTGGCAGGAGCTGAGGCAGAGGCCAGGGGCCAAGGCCCTTGCACAAATTTCATGCATCGGACTTCTAGTATATATGTATGTGTATATATATATATATATATATATATATATATATATATATATATAAATGTGTGTGTGTGTGTGTGTGTGTATATGTGTGTGTGTGTATATATATATATATATATATATATATATATATATATATATATATATATATATAAACAACAGAAGACTGAACTACGTCCACAGCAGGGAAGAACAATTTGCAAATTCAATTAGATGCTATTCAGATTTCCAGCGCCAGTTCTTTTTCATTTTCCTCCTTTGGCTCTGAACCACCCTCTTTTCACAAAGTGTCTATTATTACATACTGACGCTAACAGCTAACCTTCACTGGGCACTTTCCCTTGCCAGCAAGGCGAAGCCCTTCTCATGTGCCATTCATTTAGTTCTCTCAACAATGTGAGAAGGTGAGTGCTGTTATTACCCTTATATTTACAGCAAAGAAAGCCGAGGCTCACAGAGGTCAGCTATGTTGCCCAAGATCATTCTGACACCAGGGACCTTGGCCCTCAGCCTGAGGCTGGGCTGCCTCTGATGCATGAGCTCCTGAGCTATCTTTGCTTTGCCTACGATGCACTCAGGACCAGGGCTTGCACAGGAAGTGGCTGTTGAGTGAATGTCTGCATTCCTACACATCTTGAATTTCCCATCTGGGAGCCAGATTCGCATTTACAGTTTGACACTGTAATTTAAAAGAAGGATCTCCCTTCAGCCAACACCACATATATATTACATGTAATTTGAAAAAGAGAAATATATCTGTACATATGGGTTTCCCCCCAAGTAATTGTTTTTAATGGGAGTATTGTGAAGAGAAATCCTATTAATAATATTCCTTCCCTGTTCAAAACACATGCTAGTTAGGGAAGGGTGACTAGGGAGAGGAAGGTCATTTTAAACTGTGCTAGTCCAGCCGAAACTGGTTTGGCTCAGTGGCTAGAGCGTCAGCATGCGGAATAAAGGGTCCTGGGTTCAATTCCAGTCAAGGGCATGTACCTTGGTTGTGGACACATCCCCAGTAGGGGGTGTTCAAGAGGCAGCTGGTCGATGACTCTCATCGATGTTTCTAACTCTATCTCTCTCCCTTCCTCTCTGTAAAAAATCAATAAAATATATTAAAAAATAAAATAAAAAATAAACTGTGCTAGTCTGAATTCCAAAAAACTAAAAATGTAAATAAACACAGCTTCGTTACTTTCAGGGTCACACATTCCCCCTAATTAATTTAACAAAATATTGCCAGATGTTTTCCAACTAGACGTTCTGAAGGAAGAGCTGATTTAACACACTGCTAACACGAAGGGCACATTATCCATTGTTTAAGTGTAAACAGACTCCTCTAATATCCTTTCTGCTCTCTGTTTCCACCTTTAAAGCATTCAGCAAGTCTTTTTTTTTTCCTGAGGTGGTACAGGAGCAAGCAGCCTGGTCTCATTTGTCACTAACTAGTCACATCCTAACGAATGAGATCTCACTGTGTTTTAGAAAATATTTCATTTCCTTGAAATAATTTTTTTCTTGTCCAGCTGGTGTGGCTCAGTGGTTGAACCAGGAGGTTGTGATTTGATTCCCCCATCAGGGCACATGCCCAGGTTGCAGGCTTGATCACCAATGTAGGGGACGCAGGACAGTCCATGAATGATTCTCGCTCATCATTGATGTTTCTCTGTCCTCTCTCTCTCTCTCTCTCTCTCTCTCTCTCTCTCTCTCTCTCACACACACACACACACACACACACACACACACACACTCTCTCTCTCTCCATCTTCTTCTCCCTTCCTCTCTGGAATTAATAAAAATATTTTTTTAAAGAAATAATTTTTTCTTCTAAAACCTGTAATCCACAGCAAGAAGTGTGGCCGTGTCTACCCAGAACAAGCAGCAAGCCGTGTGGGAAGGAGAGGCGCTCACCCTCCTCTGCAGGGCAGACGGAGCTGAGAGTCTCCTGTCCGTGAGCTGGTGGCACGTGCCGCAGGGCCAGACGCAGCCAGAGTTTGTGGCTGGCATGCAGCAGGACGGCACCGTGCAGCTGGGTGCCTCCTACGGGACACCCCCTCACCACGGCCGTGCCAGGCTGGCGAAGACGGACTGGGCCACCTTCCGGCTGGAGGTCACCTCCACCGCGGTCACGGACAGCGGCACCTACGAGTGCAGAGTGTTCGAGAGGAGCCGGAGCCAGGCCGGAGGCCTGAGCTGGACGCAGAAGATGCCCATCACTGTGAAATCTCTGGGTAAGGGTCAAAGAAATCCTTTTCTGAAGTCGTCAGTACCTCTCGCAGTGAGATGGGGTGGTATCCGATGGGGTCTCATCCTGAGTCCCCTAGTGAAGGTGCGTGGACCAGAACACAGAGCGTATCTCCAAAGTTAATCTCCAAAGTTCACGCCTCTTTATAAAAACCATCTTTTTTTAAATCCTCACCTGAGGATATTTTCCCCATTCGTTTTTAGAGAGAATGGAAGGGAGAGGGAGAAAAAAAAAAAAAGAGAGAGAGAGAGAAACATCAATCTTACATTGATTGGTTGCCTCCTTCACATGCCTGGGATGGAGCTTGCAACCAGGGTCCGTGCCCTTGAGTGTGATTGAATCCAGGACCCTACAGGCTGATGCTCTATCCTAGGGGTGTCGAACTCAATCAGAGAAGGGGCCAAAATCTAAAATCCAGCCTAAATCGCGGGCCGAATGGTTTACTGAACAGTCATAAACTGTCATTGTGATGGAAATGCAGCGGAGTGCAGTGATGACAGCGCGGTGCGGGCCACATTGCAAGGCCTGGCGGGACGGATTTGGCCCGCGGGCCTTGTGTTTGACACATGTGCTCTATCCACTGAGAAAACCGGTCAGTGCTATAAAAATCATCTCTTTTTTAAAAATATATTTTATTGATTTTTTACACAGAGGAAGAGAGAGGGATAGAGAGTTAGAAACATCGATCAGCTGCCTCTTGCACACCCCCCACTGGGGATGCGCCAGCAACCCAAGTACATGCCCTTGACCGGAATCGAACCCAGGACCCTTCAGTCCACAGGCCAACACTCTATCCACTGAGCCAAACCAGTTTCGGCAAAGATCATCTTTTATTTTATTATTATTATTATTTTTAATATATTCTTTTTTTTTAATTTTATCAAACTCTTTTTAAAAAAATATATATTTTATTGATTTCCCACAGAGAGGAAGGAAGAGGGATAGAGAGCTAGAAACATCAATGAGAGAGAAACATCAATCAGCTGCCTCCTGCACACCTCCTACTGGAGATGTGCCTGCAACCAAGGTACATGCTCCTGACCGGAATCAAACCTGGGACCTCTTGGTCCACAGGCCAATATTCTATCCACTGAGCCAAACCAGTTAGGGCTATCAAGACCATCTTTAAGGTACAACTTGTAAGTTGTCATTCAAGGCTAAAAAGGAAATCCTGGGAATGGGAGTAGACTCACAGAAGAGATATGCTAAGTGGAGCTGAGTCCCATACCCTCAGCTTTTGACAGCTGCAGCCCTGGAGGACAGTCTGCCGAGCGTGTGCCAAAGGGTGTACTGCACCCATGGGTGGGGGGAAGGGAAGGAGGCCAGCCACCGACTTCACGGGCAGCTGACTGAGCAGCCGGCTGGGCAGACACTGCTTGTTTGTTGTCGCTGCTGAGGACGCTCTGAGAAGAGACTCAACTTGGGAAAACGGAGGTCAGTGATCAGGACAGACTTACTGTGAATCAGCATCTAACCCCCCAAATACTTGGTACTCCCCAGGGATGAATGATGGTCCCGTGTGCAGAGTCAGTGCCTAGGAAGCTCGGCGGGTTTGATAAACATAAATACAAATTGCGTTTTGCATATCTGCCCACAGCGTCCAGTTTACATGTCAGTCTGATGAGCCGTCAACCGCAAGTGAAGTTAACCAGCACTGTGGACCTGGCCTGCATCGTGGGGGCCGGCTACTCCGACCTCCAGGTACCGCTCACCGTGACGTGGCGGTTCCAGCCAGCTGGCTCTCAAGTCTCTCACCACCTCGTCCGAGTCACTCATAACGGCACAATCGAATGGGGGGACTTCCCGTCCCAGTTCCAAAGGAGGACAAAGATTTCACAGTCTTCGTTCCGTTCTCAACTCTCAATCCACGATGCCACCGAGGCGGAGGCGGGAGTGTATCAGTGTACGGTGGAGGTTTATGACAGAAATGCCCTGGCCACGAACAGCCCGGTGAGGGCTTCTGCCAGCTCTCACCCCCTGAGGATAGTCATCTCTTTACCAGGTAACCACCACTCTGAATTATCCCTGCTTTTTTTTTTTTTTTTTTTAACCTCACCTGAGAATATTTTTTTTCCTTAATTTTTTAAAGAGAATGGAAGGGATTGAGGGGGAGAGAGACAGAGAGATAGAGACAGACAGACACACACACACACACACACACACACACACACACACACATCGATTGGTTGCCTCCCACACATGCCCTGACTGGAGCTGGGGATCAAACCTGCAACCGAGGTCTGTGCCTTTGGCCGGGAATCAAACCCGGGACCCTTTGGTGCGTGAGCTGATGCTCTAACCACTGAACAACATCAGCTGGGCCAATCCCTGCTTTAAAAAGAAAATACTATTTCCACTTTGGGTAAGTTATAGAATTAAAACATGAAATGCCTCTCCCTGTGTTTGTACTGCATATGTCAGCACCACATATAAGCAATATCTAGGCGAACCCTGTGTTAGTATGCACAGAAATGACCATGTTAGCTGTTAAAACATTGAAATAGTTCCCCACTGACTGATAATCACGGTTCCTCCATGCCCCTTCTCCATTTTCCACAAGTCCCCAGCTGCCAGCAACCCAAGGGTGCCACATGGCACAGCAGGGACCACTAGGATCATGTAAATGTGGATCATGTAAATGTCATCAGAATATATTTATCCACTTATTTTTAATAGGTTGATGGATGAGTTAGAGAATTTATGGTTATTGGCGAATATAATTTACCTTGTCAGTTCCTAATAGAGCATAGAGGTTAAAAGCAAGACAAACCCAGACCAAGTCCTGCTGTGTCGAGGATCTTCTTTCATGCCTTTCGTTCTCTTAGGGAATAATGTTCGAGAGCCTTTGAGGTCACTTAGGTCTGACAAGTACTGGGTAGCAGCATAGCTTTGGCCAGATCACTTAACCTGCCCACGCCTTGTTAGCTCACCTGGAAATGGCTAATATGCAATTTGAAGGCGGTGGCATCCATAATGTGCCCAGCACAGTGCCTGACACATCAAGCAGATGCTCCAACGGCGTGGCTCTCACTGTTCTGTCTGCTGCTCAGCAATGGTTTTGGTAACGGTCACGGTCTCCTTGTTGATTACCTCATGCCGTAATGTACTTGTCCTTTCTGTGGATTTTGAAATTGTTGGCCAAGCCTTTCTTCTTGAAACTTCTCTTTTTCTTGACCTCGTGTTACAAGATTTTCTTGGTTTCCCTCCTGACACTCCGACTGCTCCTTCTCATTCTGTTTTGCAGAATTCTCCTCCTCCCCTGATTATTCCCTTTGAGTTGCATTCTCAGCTTGTTCTCTTCTCATTCTGTACACTCTCCTGAAGTGGGCTTATTCCTACCCCTGGAGTCAACCTATGTCCTGCCGACTCCCAGACCCATTATCTTGAAAGACTTCTCTTCTGATCTCCGGACATGGGTAGCTGCATCCAAGACATGTCTACACTCAACATGTCAAAACATAAACGCACCATTACTATCCCTCCAAAGCTACTTCTCCTCCATTGTTCTTTATGTCCCCACCGCCCACCAGTGAGTCAACCGCATCTCCTCTGTGTTCACCTCCTGTTCACACTCCCATAGCACAACCCGCAAGGTCCTTCCTTTATCATTTGGTACATTGTATGTCGCTCCGGCATCATTTCCTTTCACGTTCCATCTTGAATCTGAACCCCAGCCACACTGAATTACTTGCAATTCCCCTAATATGCTATGTTCTCTCTCATTTTCAAAGTCTTTGTTCAAGTTGCTTCTTTTATATAGGATTTCCTAACTCCTTCTCCATCAGTCTAATTCCTAGGAACCCTTACGACTTAGCTTAGAGCTATTTCCTGCAGGAAGCTTCCCTCACTCCCACATTTGGGTGAGGGGGTCCTGGGCTGTGCTTTGGTGGCTACTCCTGCATTCCTCTGTCCTGCTTGGGTGACAATCCTGTAAGCTCTACGCCCCGGTCCTTGTACTAGTCCTTCCCTCTGGGCTGTGAATCCACCGAGGGGAGGTATCCACAGAGCCTGGAATAGTCTAGCACCATGGTTGGCAAACTGTGGCTCACAAGCCACATGCGGCTCTTTGGCCCCTTGAGGGTGGTTCTTCCACAAAATACCACGGCCTGGGTGAGTCTATTTTGAAGAAGTGGCATTAGTTTAAGTTTAAAAAATTTGGCTCTCAAAAGCAATTTCAGTCGTTGTACTGTTGCTAATGAGTTTGCTGACCACTTGTCTAGCTCATAACATAGTATGTGCCTAATACATGCTTACTGAAGGAAGACCAGCACCAATAAGCAGCTACAAAAGTAGAATCAGCGATGTCAACATGAAGTTAGAATAAGATCTGGAAGCCAGGCTTTATCATTCATCTTTCTGACGAAGCAGAAAAGCTGTTGGGGTTATAGGATCGTTGATTCCATGTGTATGATATTCCCACAGCTGAGTGGCTGCAAAGAGACATATAAATCTTTTCTCTTTTTGTCACTCAATGGGTTTCTTCCTTTGAGACACACAATTTTAATAGCCCACATACAACTTCCTTTTGTTTACCCATGTTTGAAGGCAGATAGGAGTACGCTGGTTAGTGAACACACAAAGAACTTTCTCTCCCTTTGAGCTATAAAGGCTACAGAAGAGAAGATGTCTGTGCTTCAACACTGAGGCGCTAGCTATCCTATGGAAGAGATTGGGCTTTTCTGTATGACTGTTCCTTACTGTCCCACCCGCCTGTCCCCTCCCCCTGGGCAAGAGTAAAACCAGGACCAGGGGATGGAGGTTATGGAGCGGCTAAAACTCACCTTGATATCAGAAAGAATTTTCTAGTGGCAGAGCTGTCTGAAGATGGAATGGGCCGCTTTGTCAGGCAGTGCGTTGTCGGAGGTTGAGTGAGCCGTCGGTAGGGCTGCTGGAGAGAGAGTTCACACAGCTGAAGGATGTTGTGGTATGGCTCTAGTTGGCCTCTTCATGTGTATCTTCTGCCTTGAAGTTCTGTCTTCCAACCAAGTAAAACATGTATCTGTTTCCACCCTTTTCATTTAGAGAGCAAGCTAACAGTGAATTCCAGCAGTCAAGTCCAAGAGCTTGCCATCAACTCCAATACCGCCGTGGAATGTAGCGTCTTATCCAGGACCACTGGGCACCTGCCACTGGCTGTTACTTGGTACTTCTCGCCCATTTCCTCTAATGCGTCCTGGCTGAAAATCCTGGAGCTGGACCAAACCAACGTTGTCAAATACGGGGATGGATTTCATACCCCTCGGAGAAAACAGAAATTCCACGCCGAGAAAGTTTCCCCTGACACATTCCGGCTACACATCCTGAACGTGGAAGACAGCGATCGGGGCAGATACCGCTGCGCGGTGCAGGAGTGGCTCTTGTCTGCCAATGGCACCGGGTACAAGCTTGGCGAAGGGACATCGGGCGTGACAGAACTGAAACTCAGGCCCACAGGTAAGCTTGTGAGCGTCCTCACACGTCTTTCTGTACGATTGTCATCTTCTCTCAGACAGCTGTTCTTCGGACTGATCCCATGAAGGTAAAAATGGGTCCTAGAGTCCTAGGAATCATGTCCTACACCAGTGTTTCCCAAACTTTTGAAATATGTGTACCCCTTCTATAATTTTCGTAACGCTGAGTACCCCTCGGACTCATGAGAACGTAGAATTAGGCATAGCTAAGCACGGTGCAGTGCATATCCCCACCAAACTCCGGTGCAACGCGTACCCCCACCAAACTCTTCCCGTACCCCTGGGGGTACGCGTACCCCACTTTGGGAAACACTGTACCTACACAATGATGGTAGGACCTAGAAACTCGTGTGTGTAGGGAGGGGAAGGGGGAAGGAGTCACCTAAGGTGAACCAATCTGAGGATTCAGGGGCTCGGAGGGGAGCAAGAGTCCTTTGATTGGTTTGCCGAGCAGCCCGGCAGCCTGGTCCAGGCAGCTACCCAGGGTACCATATCTTCAGATCTCTACTAGTATAATAACAAGCCTGTGTCATTCCGGTGGGGCTCTATTGTAATTTGGCAGAGAAAGAGTAATACGAAGCATATTTCTCCCACTGTGAACAGAAACTGTACAACTCTGCAGGGATGTGTGCAGAAATTGCTTTTCAACATTTGGCTGCCTAAACAGAAGGCGAGGAAGAGTAGTTAGCCGTTGGAATGGCTTGCTGAGGGGATCGCCTCTTCCTCGGGAGATCTTTAAAAATGTAATAGGAGTTCCACCATTGCATTGGTCTGAGAGAGCTGGGGTCCGCGCGTGGGCAGGGTTGAGGAGACCTCTCAGCCTTCCGGTGGTCACCCCAGTGTTGATTAACATTCAATGAGTGTCACGGCTAAGGGTTGGGAACTGGGCAAGACCCAACGGCACGATGCAGAGAAGTTCATCTGCTTTGGCACTTGTGATTCTATTTCTGATGTAACATCAACAGCGAAATGGTGATGAGCATTGCTGTGTGTGAGGCGGTTAGGAACACACAGATAGAAGGCGCAGCTCTTGCCTGAAGGAGCTCACCGTCTACTCGGGCCCCAGGGAGCCCCTCTGCTCCCCTTCTTCCCCTCCCTGCTAAGCGTGGGTGTTGCTCAGGGTTGGATCCTGGACCCATTTTTCTCCTTCCTCCCTGCTCTTCTCAGAACTTCATCAACACTGCCTTGGTTCCAGCTGCCGCCTTCAGTGAACTGGCTCCGGGCCTCTATTCTTAGTCCTGTCTCCTGAGCTTGGAGCTTGGAGCCTGCAGCCTGCTGGGCATTGCTGCTTGGCCGCCTCGGAGTCCCTCCCACTCAGTATGTCCTATATTGCAGTTAGTCTCTCTGCTGTCCCTCCAGCTCGTGCACACTCGGCATTCTCCATCTGCGGGGCTGGCATCCCTTCCCCCCCTCTGTCTAAGCCAAATCTTGACAGTGTGCGCATGTCCCTTTAAGGAGGCAGCCACTGCTCAGCTCAAGGCAGAGCTTCCATTCAAGTATGTGGGCTCAGCATTGTCCAGTCTCTGGCTAGCAAGAAAGGCCTAAAATTGTGTGTGTGTGCGTGTGTGAGAAAGAGAGACAGAGAGAGAGAGAGAGAGAGAGAGAGAGAGAGAGAGAGAGAGAGAGAGAGAGAGAGAGCGCGCGCGCTCATTTTGAGGACATTCACAGCAAATTCAAATTCTTTTAAAATCTCGAGAGTGTCCAACCACACATATTGGGGTGTGGCTGCCGCAGTGGCCAGCTGAGCACCCTGGTGTCAGGAGTGGGTTAAGGAAGAGGCCCTGGGCCCGCACTGTAAGAGGGACAGTTTCTCTGAAATCAGGAGAGGAGAGGAGTTCAAGAAGAAAATGGATGTCGGTGACAAAGACCACCGAGGGCACAGAAAGGACCGGAGCAGGGAATCAGGCCCTTCTGGGACCTGGCCAGAGCATGGTGGTGGCATCGGAGGGCTGGCTGCAATAACGCAGGGAGGACTCTGAAAGGGAGGAAGCAGATAAGTGTTAGTTTATCACATAAGCTAGTATTTCACATGCTTTGCCATCCAGGGAAGGAAAGGTGAAGAATGGTAACTAAAAAAAGAACCTGGGATCAGACAGAGTTGTTCTTTTTTTTGTGTTCTCTTTTATTGTTGAAAATATTACTGTTGACTCCCCTCCCCACATTGTCCCCTTCTAGCCTGCCCCCGGCCCCCGCCCCAGGCCCTCGCCACACAGTGTTGTTCTTTTAAAGATAGATTAATAAATTTGTTTGCAGTAGAGTTTAACATTTAGTATGTAGTAGGCTTTCTTTGTTTTGTTTGTAACCACGCTAGCCTTCATTCCAACTTTTTACCTGATGAGAGAGAAAAGAAATGTTAAGTAAATGACAAAATCTGTTGAAAACTTAGTCTAATCCAATAAGGTAAATAAATGGCCTCCTGGAGTGGAATTCTAACGCTTGTACAAAAATGTTCAGTCTCTCAGACAACCTCCTTCCTCCTTCCTTGTGTCTCCCCGGGTGTGTGGGGAGGAGGGCGATTTGCTCAGAAGGCAGGGCAAGGTGGAATACCTGAGTTGAGGGAACAGGGGAGGGGGAGGAGGAGGCGGAGTTTTGACGGGTCCTCCTGGGAAGCAGAAGAGACAGGCGACAGGAGGAAGGAAAAGCCTCGGGGCAGAGTACCCATCTGAGCTGGGTGGCTTTCAGCGGGCCCACAAGAGGTATGGCTAAGCAGGCGTCTTCAAACTACGGCCCCGCGGGCCACATGCGGCCCGCAGAGGAGTCTGATCCGGCCCGCCAGGTTTTTTGGGCAGTGAGCGCAGCCGAGGTGTTACAGTAGGAATTAGTAGTTCATATAGTCCGGCCCTCCAGCTCTCTGAGGGACCGTGATCTGGCCCCCACTTTAAAAAGTTTGAGGACCCCTGGGCTAAAGGATGGAAGTGGCTGGTGTGACTCATAGCAGAGAACGTTCTCGCAAATCTGGGAGAAGGACAGAGGTCAAAGGAAAGTGCTGAAGAGGAAGGACCCGATGCCTACAGATGATAAACTGGATCTCCTCCGGGAGAGCGAGGTGCTTCAGAGATGCCTGGTCTACAAGTCCGGGTTCTTCCCTAACTTGCCGCCGTTTTGTTTCCTAGGAGCCGAGGTCCGTGTCTCCAAAGTGCACCGGACGGAGAACGCTACGGAGCACGGAGAGGCGGCCCTGCACTGCAGCCTGGAGAGCGAGGGCGGCTCGGCCTCCCTGTTCTCTGTGATGTGGTACCGGATCACAAAACATTCTGGAAGCGAAATGCTGGTGCACCTGCAGCACGACGGCCTGCTGGAGTACGGTGAGGAGCGGCTCAGGAAGCGCCTGCACTGTCACCGGGCGTCCCCCACAGACTTCGTCCTGACGCTTCACCGGGTGGCGATGGAGGATGCTGGGGTGTACTGGTGCCGGGTGGCCGAGTGGCAGCTCCATAGCACCCCCAGCTGGTGGGTCATCGAGTCTTTGGATCAGTCGCAGCGTATGGTGCTCACGGTGCTGCCCTCAGGTAATGCGGGGTCACCCCGACTTGGCTCGTGGGCAGGAGGCCCTCTGTCCCCCCTCTTCTCCTCTCCCTCTCAGCTGTGGTCGGCTCCTTCTCCGGGCTAAAAGCAACTCCAGACTCCCTAACGCAGTGACTTCGTCTTTTCTCTCAGTAGTAACGTATCTGGACAGACAAGGTCTACTTGAGTTTTTCGCATAAACATTGAAATGCCAGGGGACTCGGCTCCTGCTTCCCATCTCAAACAGAAAAGCCTTCAGCATTACATCCCTAAATGGCCGGAGCGTGTTTGAAGCAGACATCCTTACCCCCTGGCTGATCTTGAATCTCAGAAGGCTGATGGGCAGGGGGGGAGGAGAGGAAGGAGAGGGACCTGCTGACTTTACCTTTGATCTGGTTGAACCAATATCAGCTGCATCTATGCTCCCCGAGTCAAAATCAAAACAAAACAAAGAGGAAAACCCTTTCCTAATGACCAAGAGCCAAGTTTCTGCTGCTGCTGCTGCTTCTTCTTCTTCTTCTTCTTCTTCTTCCTCTCTCTCTCTCTCTCTCTCTCTCTCTCTCTCTCTCTATATATATATATATATATATATATATATATATAATTGATTTTTACAGAGAGGAAGGGAGAGGGATAGAGTTAGAAACATCAATGAGAGAGAAACATCCATGAGCTGCCTCTTGCACACCCCCCACTGGGGATGTGCCCACAACCAAGGTACATGCCCTTGACTGGAATCGAACCTGGGACCCTTGAGTCTGCCGACCAATGCTCTATCCACTGAGCCAAACCCGTCAGGGCAAGAGCCAGGCTTCTTATCTCTCTGTATGCCCAGCCAGCTACTAGGTCTTGGATGGCGACAGACAGGTGGTGGGCCCCTCCTATTTGCACCTGGAAAGGCCTCAGAGGAGGAAATGCACCTCAGGGACCTGCTTACAGGCTCCAGCAGGGAGGCAAGCTCCTTGAAGACCGTTGGCCAAAGGGGGGCCCCTCTCGATGTGGGAAGGCCGTCCTATCCAGCGGAGCCCACAGGTTCAGGAGGGATGTGGAACAAGAGACTGGAAGATGAGACCAAGGGCCGGAGACCAGGACACAAGCTTTATTTAGGAGAAGACACCTGCCAGGCTGCCTTCCAAAGGAGAAAGAGCACATATGCTGGCGGTGAACATGCCTTTTGAGGGGAGGAAAGGGAAGGGACGGGGCTTAGGGCACTCGGCACACGCTGGTTGGTGGTTCCATGTAAGGCACATGATTAGGCACCTAGGGACTTAGGAATCGGGGGCTTAGGGTATTTGGCAGGTGCTGATTGTTGGTTCAATGTACAGTCCGTATATGGTGCCTGGTTAGATGCTCAGGAATGTTCCGGCTGCAGGAGGAGTTTACGTCATTCTCCGTCCATCAGTTGGGGGAAGGGAGGATCTATTAGAGACGCTGGGGGAGCAGAGGGCACCCTTCCAGCCAGTGCTGTGCCAAGCATATCACAGCCATTTATTAAGCATTTGTTAATGAAAGCAAAAATGTCTCCAGCCAGACCAGTAAATCTTCCCTGGCGATCAATGAGCTGGCAGATGCTGTAGCCAGCGCGTTCTCTGAGCCACTTCTGCCTGGTGGGGTTTAAGAAGATGAGAGGTGAGCAATGAGCTAAACAGACTATAGAAAAGGGTCCTGGGAGGCGCAGAGGTGTGGTCTTGGTTCCCTACCCCAGGAAGGGTACAAAGGATGAATAGAGATTCCTGGGACACCCGCTAGCTTTGGTGACACTCCTCAGGAGGGAGAGTGCTGCTGGGGACAAATGGGAGTTTCTCAGGAGTAGGGATAGGTGGCTGCCTCCCAGCTATCCCAGCAGGGCTTCTAGAGCGGAAGTCAAAGCTATCTGATTGGTTCCCTGGGGTTCCATCATCCTCTCCCCTGCCCATTCTTCAGTGAATTCTCCTCCAAAGTCTCCAAGCAGAATTTTTCTTCCTCTCAGCTTTTCTTCCATTCCAACATTTATAGACGTCCCACACCCCTGAGCACATTCCCTATACATTTTCCCATGGAAATCCCTAAGCTCTGCCGAGTCAGCACTTTTTGCAGTGGAATAGATACTAACTGTAAAAAGTTAACTGAAAAGCACATCTTTGTGGCATCTTTATCAAACAAGTGTGAGGTCTGAAACAGATGATCCCTGGAAAGGAAATGTTAAATATTGAGTGGTCTTAGTATCCCTTCACAATCGAAGATGGCAAGAGATGAGGTTAGTGAGATGGGGAGGTACAGATCTCACACGTGTCTGAAGTATGAAGCTAAAGAAAGTGAACTTTACCATAGAAGTTATGGAGTGCCATTGGCCAAGTTCAAGCAGGGGAGTGACATCATAAGGTGTCTGGAACCAGGCAACAAAACTGTGGAGTGCATGGTTCCAGTGAAGGCAGAGACATTAGGAGGCATTTTCCTTCTTGCATTTTCTTTTTTTAAAATATATTTTATTGATTTTTGTACAGAGAGGAAGGGAGAGAGATAGAGAGTTAGAAACATCGATGAGAGAGAGTCATCGATCAGCCGCCTCTTGCACACCCCCTACTGGGGATATGCCCGCAACCAAGGTACATGCCCTTGACCGGAATCGAACCCGGGACCCTTCAGTCCCCAAGCCGACGCTCTATCCATTGAGCCAAACCGGTCTCGGCTGATCTTGCATTTTCTTCTCCATCTTACCTCCTTAGCTGTCACTAAGCAGAGGCAGAGGCTCCAGTCTTTGAACCTCACCCTCAGACCCCAGGCATGGATGTGCTATTCTAGAGCAGTGGTCGGCAAACTCATTAGTCAACAGAGCCAAATATCAACAGTACGATGATTGAAATGTCTTTTGAGAGCCAACATTTTTCAACTTAAACTTCTTCTAACGCCACTTCTTCAAAATGGACTCGCCCAGGCCATGGTATTTTGTGGAAGAGCCACACTCAAGGGGCCAAAGAGCCGCCTGCGGTTTGCGAGCCGCGGTTTGCCAACCCCTATTCTAGAGAATTCTCTGTGATTAACTAATGGACAAGACTATAGGGCTTTCTGGGGGCTGGATTATTGGTCATAATATAGTATTTGTTACTATTTCCAAGCTTTTATTTGGACAAAGATATACTTTTTTAAAAAATGGATCCTCACTGGAGATATGTGCGCCTACCCCCCTGAAGTTTCTGGAGAGACCATGCTATTTATCGACGCTACCCCCGTGCCTCCAAGGCCTGCCACTCAGCGCTAACCAAGTGTTGGTTGAAAGAATGAGCGAGCCAGTCTTGTGTTGGCTGCTTCCAGGTGTTCCCTTTTTGGGGGAGGAACTTGGGTCAGGTTCAACCCTACTTTTATTTCCTGGCAGGAGCCAGCTCTCCCACACAGCCACATATGGCAGTCAGTTGCTCATATTCTCATTAGGGTGGGGGAAGAGTTGGTAGCCCCCCGATTGTCCCGCACCTTTCCCTCTCCGAATGTTCCTTGTGACGTGTTTGGCTGTAGGTAGGAGCACGTTATAAATTAAACCTCCTGATGAAATATTCTCATTATATTTTTGGCATGTCTTGTACTTTGAGCTTTGGGTACTTACTTGGATTAATTCAAAATGCCAAACCTTAATGGTTTTGAATGTCACTAAATTCTAATCCAGATAGAGGTGAGAGACAGATGGCGGGGAAGGGTGACTGCAGGATCCAGAGCAAACACTGTCCTCCCAGGAGAGATCACTTGGAAGCAGGGGAGCTGACGGTTGCTAGCTGGTGGCCGATTCGGTGCTGTGAAGAGTCCACTTTGCCGTCCTGGATGGCAGGCTGCTCTAAGCGGAGAAGCCTCCTCCCCATTAAGATGGTCAAGCCCCCTGGCAGTGCCTTCACATGGAATATTAGCATCTCACTGGCAGAAAAAGCAAGTACCAGAGCTCTTTCACCTTCTACGTGCTGGTTCCATCTCCCCACCATCACACCACCATCCTAGCAAAAGTGACACGTGGTAACTGTGGACTCCCACCTCCCAGTTCTCTACTTCCTGTGACTGGAAAAGGAAGCCAGTCTCCTAAGTAATCACGTGGCTCTCAGAGAATGTCATCCTGGGGCTGAGGACTCAGAGATTTAAGAAAGAGACTTGGCCTATGGGAGAACAGGACCATGCCTATAGCCCCAGAGAGGAATCAGCAGGCACAGGCCTGTTTTTTCTCAGATCTCTCCGGAGAAAGTTGCCTGTGATTTTTCTAACTTTCTTAGTAGCATCCTAGCTATTTATTCCTTGCTGACTCAACAAAAGCGCTAGGCACTATGTTAAATGCTTTATTATGCATTACCTCATTGCGACTCTAGAAATTAGTATCCCCATTTGATTGACAAGGACCCTAGTGACTAGAGCGGATAAATAACTTGTCCAGTGCCAGTCATGGTAAGTGGAAGAGCCAGGATTTGAACCCAGCTCTCTAAGGTGTAGTAGGTGCTCAGTCACCACTTGGCTCAGGGTTGTATGAAGTACCAAGGCCCTTAGCCTTTGGTCTCTTCAGCATCTCTGTCTGTACCTCCTCCTCCTCTTTTTAAAAAAATTTTTAAAAACTTTAGGGAGATAGAGATTTGTTTTTCACTTAGTTATGCACTCCTTGGATGATTCTTGTATGTGCCCTGACCGGGGATCAAACCCACAACCTTGGCTTATCAGGTGGATGCTCTAACCAACTGAACCACTCGGCCAGGGCTATCTGTCCTTCTTAACCAAATGCCTTCAAATCTATTCACATAAGATGTGCAAGGATTGCTGTAATCAAGCAGGGCCTTAGAGAGAGGTTAGATAGGGTGTGGAGAGGGGGTGATGAAGGATTCAAAATCTAGCGTTTTCATTGCCCACCTTTTCAGAAACCAAAACCAAATTTCAGGTGGAGAATTAAAGGCGACCAGAGAAAATGCAGACAATGAAAACCTGCAGCTTGTCAGACCTGTGTAAGAAGAGGGCAGGCACGCCCCTGGGTCCGTGTGTGTGGAATCCACTCTCCTAATTGATTCATCCATCAGTCTCCATCGATGACCTGTGGACAAAGCGCTGCACCAAATAAAAAGATGCATGATGCCGAAACCAGTTTGGCTCAGTAAATGGAGCGTCAGCCTGCGGACTGAAAGGTCCCAGGTTCGATTCCGGTCAAGGGCATGTACCTTGGTTGTGGGCACATCCCCAGTAGGGGGTGTGCAAGAGGCAGCTGATCAATGATTCTCTCTCATCAATGTTTCTAACTCTCTATCCCTTTCTCACCCTCTCTGTAAAAAATCAATAAAATATATTTTTTTAAAAGAAAAAGATGCCTGGAGTTCCCAGGGCAGAGGTTGGACCAGGGTCTAGATTCCTGACTTCCAACAAAGACGCGTTCTTCAAGGAGCAAAGTGCATCAGTAATGCCAAAAATGAAATCCTTGTCGTATGTGGTTATCTAAATGATCTTGGAATTTGCTGTTTTCATCTCAAAAGAGTTTACATCCCAAGAATCCTATAGCTTACCTTCTAAAAAAAGAAGTTGCCTATGTTGTTACAATCTTCCCTTGAAAGCACAGCTACTGTTAGCACCAGATTCTCAGAACAGCCCTGATTTTGAATATCCTGTCATAAGCACATGCAGCTGAAGGCTACATTCGGCAGATGGTGTCTCATAAAATGTGTCTCTGCATCAAGAGACTGTAAGCCTGGTCCTTACCTAGTAACTCAAGGTCCTGTGTCCTGGAGCCTGGAGGGTGGGGGATGCGGCCCTCTTGTCTGCTTCCCTGGCTGTGTGGCCGGGGCCTGCTTTGGGATTGCATGTATGTGCTCCACGTGTCTATTGCCTACAGCGCTTCCCCACGGACTGCAGCTGCGGATGGGGTATCTTCAGCAAGCCTTTATATATAGTGTCCTCTGCCCCAGTCAACCCAGTCTAATTCCGATCAGCACAAGTTATCAAGCACATGTGCTTAGCACTGTAGGGGCCGTAGAAACAGATGGCACCATCAGACATACCTGTGATGGAACAAAAGAGGTGGTTAGAAGGGGGCTTAAGAGGTCTGAACAGGCCTTCGTGGGAGAGATAGAAGAACACTGTGTCTGAGACGATAGGACCACCTGGGGGAGGAAGAGGGCCCAGAGGGTTAGGGTGCAGAGCGCATGCCAGGAAAGGAGCTAAATGGAGGGGGCCTGGGGAGTGAGACCAACTTAGAGGTTCTATTTTATGAGGCCTGTGCATGTGTGTGTGGGGGCGGGGGGGGGGATTAGGAAGCAACAGCCGTGGGAATAACTCAGTGAAAACATCAGGACCGGCAGCAGAGTTGAGAACGAGGGTTGAATTATAGATTATCTTTTTCTGAGGGAAGAAGATTAAAGGAGAGGTTTTCTTTTTTTGTTTGGCTTTTCCTTCTGGCTGCCAGCTTTAAGTAGGCCATGGGAGCCTGCGGTGGTTGGAAATTGCTGGGTGAGGGGGTCGGTGGAAGAGCACCCTCGGAGTTCTGGGCTCCCACGCTGTCCCCCTCCCCCCACCCCTTGCTCCTCACATGGGACTCAAGGGGCCGGCTGCTCTCTGGGTGTTATTTTCACATGTGTTTGCCTGTCACAGTGACTCCCAGACGTGTGTAAGATGGGTTAGCACAAGTAAGGGGGGACTAATGATCCTCTTTGTTTCTCTCTTTTTGTGGCAGAGCCCTCGTTTCATTCCAGGATCTGCTCATCGGCATCGTTGATCTATTTCTTATTCATCTGCCCCTTCCTCATGCTCCTTCTGCTGGTCTCCACCCTCTGCCTCTGCCGGAAGGCCAGGAAGTTGTCAGCACTGAGGCAAACCTCCCAGAGAGAACAAGCCCTCTGGATGGACTTGAAGGGAGCTGGCGAGGGGCCCGCCACCACAAGGGAGGAGCAAGAGAGTTGAATCCCAAGAGGCGCTCAGCCTTGTGAAGGGTGTGGGCTGGGCAGTGGGACTGATCAGACCAGGGTGTGGCTGAATCCTGGTTCTGCCCTTCTCTGTAGCGGGGGCCTGGGGTAAGTTCCCCAGGAATCTGAGGAAACGGGTTATCGAGTATATCTGGTGCCAGGCACCGTTACATATCTATCTCTTGTATCCCGTTGGCCTCAGGACCCCGTTTTCATTCACCACACCCCACCACCCCACAGGTTCAGGTTCAATGCCTGTGAGCAGAGGAGGCCTGCCCTCACACAGCCCCTGGGAGAGGAAGGGAGATCCTACAGCCAACCCCAGGGGCTGCTGCCCTCCGCTCTCCTCCCTCTTCCATCACTGGTTCCCTGGCAACACCGGCAGTGACCTGTCCGCTGTCCAGGGAACCCTTAGCCTCCAGGGGAGAGGTGTGGGAAAGGGATGGCAGCAGGGCGAGAGGAATTGGGGATATGCCCATCTGTCCCAGGAAATCCGCCTCCAACAAGAGAGTGACTTCCTTCGAGGCAGAAATCTCATCTGTAAATGCAGGTGCATCATCAATATTGGTTCTTTGATGAAATGATAAAGCCTTTGGTAGCCTGAGTTTCTTTGTTTTGTTTTTTGTTTGTTTGTTTGTTTGTTTTCCTCCTTTTCTCTATAAGACTTATTGAGTCGTTGCTAAGGAAAAGCTTTTTTCTTTTTTTAATTTTGCGACAGTGCCTCAGTCAGCCCCCCAAGGCCTAATAGCTTTCCTTTCCCCCCATCCCTACAGGCCTCCCTGGCTCCTGGCTCTTAGCCAATGCCTAATTTTCTTTAACCCGAAGGCACTCTGGGGCTAGGGTAGTTATGTGGAGGAGGAGGGGTCCAGAGTGTCACTATCCCCTTCCACGCCAGTAGAGCATGGAAGTTCAAGGGGGACGGCCAGTCCAGTCTGGTTCCTCAGGGTGTGCAAGAGGCAAGAAAAGTCAAGAGGATGATTGGGGGAGGGAGGGCTGTTCATGGTTTAAGACTTTCAACCACTGTGCCCCAGGAGATGACAGCTGTCCCCACTGGGCCTGAGGTCCCTTCCCTTTGTTTCAAAAGCTGCTCAGGCCAGAATTGAAAAATCAATCAGGGTCGCCTAACAGACTGGAGAAAACATCTACTTATTATCTAAGTGGCCGACGGCATCGCCCTAACACTCAGTAATTTGCATTTCCAAGGAGAGCAATTTATTTTTAATTATTTTATCAGGCGCAGACTCCTCTCCAAACATAATTAGTTCCTTTGCTGGGGGATTATCCGTGGCTATGAGAACTCCCACCGTAGACCTACTAGTTCCTTCACTTCACCTCCCTTTATGGCTTCGTTTGAGATACTCCGAATGTTTCCTTAAACACGTCAGCACAGTTTCTCTCAGGAAGGGGAGCGTAGCTTTCAGAGAACAGAGCTCAAGTTCAGACTTCTTAGAAAACATGATTAATGCCTCCCCGTCCCAATTTTTCCAGAAACCTCTATTTTCATGGGGATATTGAAGGGAAAGAGAGCAGAACTGAGCCCAGGCAGAGAATCGGTGGATTCTGGTGCCTCCCCCCCACACCCCTCCACCGCCTCTCTCCCCACCTGGAGACCGCCTTTCAGCGCTTGGCTCAAATACCACTTTTTCATGTTTGACTACAGCACAGAGGTTGCCAGAGCAGACACTGGAATATCTAACTGTCTCCCCTCCCATCCCCCTGCCCCCCCCCCCAACAGAGTCGGGGGATGATCATTTCCCTGTGTCTGGCCCGGGATGGGTGTGAGGGGTCCATGGAGACTGAGTTGGCCCAGCCCCACTCCCCTTGCTTATCCCCTTGTCTGCTCTGGACGCTCTGCTTTCACTGATGGGATGTGGAACATGTCGGGTTTTCTAAGAAGCCACATTGCACTCTTTGGCTCATGGTGCCGTTTCAGGCAACGAAAACCCCAGTCTTCTTTTTTTCCTTTTTGAACTTCTAGAATAAAATTTGTTTTCAGCCATTTCCACAGGCATTTTACATGAAACCTCTACTCACCCCAATTGTGTCCTTGTTCATCTTATTTCTTAAAACTTAACATCACCTTTCCTCATTGATTTCAACTTTTCCATTCTGGGTCACCGCCTGGTTTTACTTTACTTGCTTGTGTTATAAAGTCTCCCTGGCAACAGGACAAACCTCTGCCTCCGGAGCTGGCTACTTACGCCCCACGGGCAAAATACAGCCCACCCCTGTTTTTTAAACTACACTTTATTAGAATACAGCCCCTTTCTTTCATTTGCCCACAAATTCTCTCTGGCCACTGTCATGACAAAATGGCGGAGTCAAGCAGTTGCCATGGAGACTGTAGGGCCCTCGCAAAGCCTGAGATGTTTGCCGTCTGGCTCTTTATGGAAAATATTTGACAACCTTGCTCTGTGTAAGTGGCTGGTGTTCTGTCTGTCTTCACCTTGTGTTATATTCCTGGGAAACTTGACTTGAATTATATATGTACTGGTTATAGATCTGATTAATTTAATAAAGAATCTAAAGCTTCCATATTGGTGTCTAGCTCAGCAGTTCTGAAGGTGAGATCCTCTCCACCATACTCCTACTAGCCATGGGAAGTCCACACCCTCCTGTTGAGTACTTTCTCTGTACAAGATGAGATGACTCAGATATGAGGCAGGAACAGGCTCCTTTCATTATCCTTAGTCTATTGGGGCATCTATAGGAACAATGGGTTTATGGCAGCAGATGAATGCAATGGTAGACGAAGTCATGTGACATGAGAACTTGTAACCATGGGACAAGTGATCATCATCTCAGCGTTTCATGGCCTCCCCATGTGAAAGGGATTCTTCTTCCCATCCTATAGGTAAGAAGCTGAGGTTCAGAGAGGTGGGATTTACCTAGGATCACCCAGCCAGCTGCAGAAGAGCAAGAGCTCACATTGAGGTTGGCTGGCAAGTCCTGGGCTCCTTCTGGAATAAGCGTGGCAGGTGCTTGTTTTGTCACGTGCTCTCAAAGTGCTGGTTTGTTCTAAAAAGCTGGAAAGGATTCAGACTGTAAGAGCAGGGGACCCCTTTGCACTCTGCCCTGATTCCCAGATTTCCATTCAACCCAAAGCATGTGGATTCAATAGCTCCTCTGTGTTGCCTTGTGATGGTGCTCAAACAGACACACAAGAGCATGTTTTTGTTACAGCCTCCCATGACTGAAGGCGGATGCTACAAGTTCTGAAGTCTGTCTTCGGGGAATCTTTGTGTTATTTAACTGTCTGTCTCCAGCAGCTCTTTGTACCACCCTGCTGGCAGCAGGAAATGGTTTGAGGATCTTCTGCTCTCCAGAGCCAAGGCATGACCAGCCCCATCAAAGGGCGCTGATGCAAAATGGTCTTTGCTCCCTAAATGTGGGCCGAGTACCTTCTAGCCATAAAAGCGACAAGTTGGGATGCTGTGTGCAAAAAGGCACCACAATTGAAGCAAAACATTGAGCAGTATAAAAGAAGTCTGAAGTGGTTGGAGTTAGCGTCAATATTGAGTAAGGGTTACTGGCTTTGTCCAACATCAGCTCCCCACACATGTCTGAATTCCACCGGAAACATTATCTCTGATGGAGAGAGGTATTCAGTGTAGTATTAAGTATGGCTCATTCAAATGCAATAAACTGGGAGACTTCCACTTGGCAACTGTGACGTTTAGTAATCTTTCCACACACAAAAACCATAGTCAGCATTTGAGCCCTCATAAGGAGTAAGCTGCAGCGAGATACAACTGAGGCTGCCACTACTTCCTCTTAGGATCTTCCACTTTGGCTTTTTGCTCCTTTTAAATGATGTGCCCCATGAGTCCTTCTACTGTAACTTAATAGTCATGAATGTGATCTCTGGACTTAGATTCCTAGGTTCAAATCCTGACATAACTCATGGGCTGTGTAGTCTTTAGTAGTTAACTTCTGTTGGCCTCGATTCCTTCCTCCATAAAATGAGAATAATCCCCATTACTTCAGAAGATTTGTTGTAAGGATTATATGAGATATTCATGTGAAGGAGAAGTCATCAATGTTAGAGATCATCATCATTATTGACATCAATGACAAGCTGGCCGTTGGAATCCTTTCTACGCCTGAGAATTCCTTCTCAGGAATTCCTTCTCAGACAGCTGATACTTTACTACCTGATTCTTAACACAATAGTAGAGAGAACAGGACAAGAGAATGAAATGCGAGCAGGGATTTGGCCACAAAATGGGATCATTGCTTGGGTCCTCAGCCCAAAAGGCTAATTTAGAGAAAGAGAAGTGTAAAGTTCCAGAAAGAAGATATCAGGGCAGTGTGGACTGAGGAATATTTGGATAAAATTGAGCGCTTTCCAGTTAAATGAGGAGTCAAGAAAGTTTAATCCAGGAGTTCCAAGTGAATATATGGGAATTAATGGGAAATGAAGCCACCAGAGGCTCCTATCCTGAGGTTCTTTATACCTGTATTAATTAGCTAATTCAATTTACATGTAGATTTGGAGGCAAATAATTAGCTTGGGAATTTGTATTAGTCTGCTCAGGCTGCCATAACAAAAGGCCATAGACTGTGTGGCTTCAACGGCAGGAACTTATTTTCTCACGGCTCTGGAGGCTGGCAAGTCCCAGATCTACCGGTAGATGCCAACTGACTGACGAGGGCCCTCCTCCCAACTTATACACGCCAACTTTTCAATGTACCCTCACATGACAAAGAGAGAGAGAGAGAGAGAGAGAGAGAGAAACCCTCATGACCTTATCTAAGCTTAATTATCTCCCAAGGGCCCCATCTCCAAATGCTATCACATTGGCAAGCAAAGCTTTCACATATGAATTTGGAGGAACAAAAGTAATTCAGTCCATGGCACTTGGGAAGGGTGCCCAACTTAAAAGGACAACCATTCGAGTGAGCAGAATTCTTCCCCAATCTCTCCTCCTACTTAGCCATGCTCCAGCTCCTCCATCAGCAGTGGGTGATTACTAAAGGGGCAGGAAGGGTGTCATCATGAGGAAAGTTGAAGGATAAATAGGGATTGCTTAAACATACATGCAGGGCTCTGGGTGGGAACACAACGAAGCTGGGCCATGCGTCCTCCACAACCATCACCAATGGCATTTATTATTATTATTATTAATATACTTTATTGATTTTTTACAGAGAAGAAGGGAGAGGGATAGAGAGTTAGAAACATCAATGAGAGAGAAACATCGATCAGCTGCCTCCTGCACATCACCCACTGGGGATGTGCCCGCAACCAAGGTACATGCCCTTGACTGGAATAGAACCTGGGCTGGGACCTTTCAGTCTGCAAGCCGATGCTCTTTTCCACTGAGCCAAACCAGTGTAGCACCAATGGCTGTTTTTGTCTCCTCTGGACCAAAGAAGTATTGAGGGTTTGAGGGAGGTGTTATGGGGGAAGCAAGTGAAAAAGAGGAATTGGGGAAAAGGAACAAGCAATTAGCACATAAGAGTGAGAAAGCAGAAATAAAAGCCAACATCTACAGAAAAAAGAACCTCACACCCCCCTGCCCACCCAAGCTCTGCCCTTGGGCACAGATGAGTCTCTGACCCGTCCTCCCCCACCCCCTCTGCACCAGGCAGCTTCTGAAGGAGGAAGCCTGCCTGCCCGCAGGGAGAAGCCCTTCCTTCAGACACCAGGAGTGGCAGCAAGCTCCACAGCACTGGAGGAACACCTTAGGTTTGAGGTGTAGGAGAAACAGTAGGAGAAACACCTTAGGTTTGTCGTTTCTTTCCTTTAAAAAAAAAAAAAAAATATATATATATATATATATATATATATATATATATATATATATATATATATATATATAATTTTTATTTTTTAATTTCAGAGAGGAAGAGAGAGATAGAAACATCAACGATGAAAGAGAATCATTGATCTGCTGCCTCCTGCATATCCCCCACTGGGAATCAAGTCTTCAGCTCAGGAATGTGCCCT